TGTCCGCAATGGACTCCTAAACTACTGAACCGATTTTAATCAAATTTTACACACTGTGTGCAATTTCATCCAACTTGAAAGATAGGATAGTTTATATCTCAATTTATAATCGCAATATTATTTGTTTATTAACAAAGAGTCATGATTAGCTCTGTTAGTTCGATAAGATTCTAACAGATTGCGGCATAAGCTAATTCGTTGACTTAAAGACTTGTGTATCGGACTGATTGTGAGCCACACAATTATATATATATATATAAATACACAATAAATGCATTAGTTGATTCAAACTAACAAATAATAACACGTAAGATCGGTAAAAGGTTAAATTTATCAAATTCAATTGTTTAAACCATCTTATAAAGCCTAAGTTTAGCCTTGAAAGCGAAAATTGTTTTTCATTTTCACAAAAGAAAAAACCAAAATTACTTTTCGAACAAACCATTTTACGAATATTTTTCACGTTTATGTTAAAATATCGACGTTTAAGTTAAAATATCGACGTTTAAGTTAAAATATCGACGTTTAAGTTATCGACGTTGATAAATTTATCTATTTTTTTTTAATAATTATCTCTAAAAAAATATATGATTTATGATAATGACCTTTTAATAATTGATACTTTCTACGAAAAGAAAAATTATTTCCTGAATGACGTAAACATGATTGAGCAAAAAAAAAAGACAGAAGAAGAATTTTTGTGTTTTTTCTCTTTTTTTTTTTTACTTTTTCGTTGATCGTGTCTACGTATTTGGAAAAAGTACATTTTTTATTTGAATTATTATATCGAAATATTATGAAAGCTCAAAGTTCACCATGTTGTTTGAATTTCAATGAAAATTTGATACTCATCCGTTTGATTTATAAAAAATAAAAAAAAAAAAATGAAATAAAAAATACAACGAAGTGACGATGATTGATAGGTTGTTCAATTTTGATAACAAATGTAATGTTATACTAATACTTATACTTATACTTATCAAAGATCTGACACGTTTTACAATGAGAAAAAACACATCTTATCACAACTTGTTTCCTGTTTAAAAAAAAAAAAATAAAAAGAAAGAATCACATTCCATCATTCTAATTAAACAATTGTTAAAATCAACTTTTTTTGTAATCTTAAAAAAATAAAAAGAAATGAGAATAACAAATTGATTTATAATATTTTTATAATATTACTACTAACCAATAAATTGGTAATTATATAAAAAATAAAAAAAATTATTAAAAAACAATTAAATTTCATTGAACAAATTTATGATAAAATTTTATTTACAGTATTTCTGTATAAAAGAAAACCCAATAGATAAATTGGGTTTTCTTTTAAAACTCATGATGATCACATTTTTCCTAAGTCAATCAAATTTATACGAAGAATAAAAAACAAATAAACAAATAAATAAATAAAAAAATTATTAAAAAACAAACAAAATTTCATTGAACAAATTTATGATAAAATTTTATATACAGTATTTCTGTAAAAAAAAAAAACTCGATAAATAAAGTTCTCATAATGAATAATAATTAACTTATCATTTATGTAAACCTTGAAATAAAAAAAGAAAAAATAAGATAAAAATAAAACAAAGTAGATTATAATTATTTCCTGTAAAAACTGAATTTTCTTGATTAAAATAATTGCATATTGTAATCTAAAAAAAAAAAGAAAATTAAAACAAACCACAAGTATGTTAAAATAGTCTCGTCCAATGAAAAAACAGGTTACTCAAACTTCAAATCCTAAACAGAGAAGGTTTACTTTTTCTATCATATAAAACTTAAATAAACTAAATAAAAATAAATTAAATAAATCAAATTAAATTAAATTGAAATTAAATAAATAAAAATTTTACTTATTAATTAATTAATATAAACAATTTAGTAAATTATAACAAAACCCAAAAATAATACACGAAAAAAGAATATATAAAAAGTGAGGTTAAGTTGTGTCAATGTGTAAACCTGAAAAGAAAAATGTGAAATAATTGAATCGTGATACAACGCCATCTATTGCAAATTTACAGTACCTAGTGACTTAAATAATCTCTAAATAATAAATCCTTAATTGAGCAATAAAAAAAATAAACAAATAATCGTGATAAAAATCATACAAAATAGAAAATAAATTTCATGAAGATATTACTTGGGTATTTTCGAACTTTGATGGAAAACTACCATAAAAAAGAAATAAAAATCAAGGTTATAATTGTGTTATCTATAAATCTGAGTAAAAAAACATGTGACGTAAATGTATCTAAATAATTCAATGGTAATAAAATGTCATCCATTGAATTTTTAGAAAATCAAGAGACTGGCAGATAACCTCAAATAACAAATCTTTAAATAATCGATAAGAAACAAAAAATAAACGCGATAAAAACTATCCAATATACTAAATTGATAAAACTAAAAATCATACAAAATAGAAACAAATTTTCATTAAAATCACTTCGAATTACTTTAAACTTTATCTTGAAATCAACAATATGACAAACATGTGACGTGGAAATTAATTGAAATAGTTGAATTGTAATAAAACGCCATCTATTGCAAAATTACAGTACCTAAAGACTTAGATAACCTCAAAATCAATAACAAATCCTTAAATTAGCGATAAAAATACAAAATTTGATTAAAATCGTTTGGTATAGTTTTGAACTTCATCTTGAAATCAATAAAATGACAAACGTGTGACGTGAAAATTAATTGAAATAATTAAATTGCAATAAAACGCCATCTCTTGCAAAATTACAGTGCCTAAAGACTTAGATAACCTCAAAATAAATAACAAACCTTTAAATGAACGATACAAAATACAAAATAATCGTTTTCAAAACTATCCTACATCCTAAATTGATAAAACATCATGCAAAATACAAAAAATTTCATTAAAATGGACTCAAATTACTTTGAACTTCATCTTGAAATCAACAAAATGACAAACGTGTGACGTGGAAATTAATTGAAATAATTAAATTGCAATAAAACACCATTTATTGCAAACTTTTAGTACCTAAAGACTTAGATAACCTTAAAATAAATAACAAACCTTTAAATGAACGATACAAAATACAAAATAATCGTTTTCAAAATTATCCTACATCCTAAATTGATAATAAATTATACAAAATACAATAAATTTCATTAAAATGGACTCAAATTACTTTGAATTTCATCTTGAAATCAAAAATATTACAAACATGGACGTGTAAATGAATTGAAATAATAGAATGGTAATAAAACGTCATTTATTGAATCGTTAAAAAGTCTAAAAACTCACAGATAACCTCAAAATAACAAATCTTCAAATTAGTGATCAAAAATAACCAAAAATCTACGTAAAAAACTATCCTACATCATAAATTGATAAAAAAACATCATAGAAAATAACGAAAAAGTTGATTAAAATCGTTTCAGTATAATTATGAACTTCATTTTGAAATCAACAACGTCAAAACTTGAATTTTAATATATTAAGGAAGATAGGGAAATTTGAATATGTAATAAGGAAAAAATGATAATCGTGTGGCGTCACAGAAAGCAAGCACAAACTAACCATAAGCCATCATTTTACCAGGGAGTCAGTAGTAGTAGTAGTAGTAGTAGTAGTAGTTGTAGTTGTAGTAGTTGTGTAGTAGTAGTAGTAGTAGTAGTAGTATAGTTGGGGTCGCTGCTGTGAATGTATAAAAGCTGCTTGAGTTAAATGGGAGGATACAGTTCTATCTCAGTCACTGAGCGGAGAAAAGTTGATATCATCGATGAAGAGAATTTATACGTGAAGAAATATCAAGAAGAAGAAGAAGAAGAACAACAACAACAACAATAACAATAAGAAATAGAAGAAGAAAAAAAAAACAAAAGAAAACGAAGAAGAAGAAGAAGAAGAAGAACAAACCAACAACGTAAATTCCATTTCAACGTACACTGAATATTCAACTGAATTTTCTTCTTTTCCTCTCCTAACCTTCCCTTTTCTGCTCTCCCCCCATATCATTTACATTCAAACGATTACTGAAAATTGAAAGAAGAAGAAGAAGAAGAAGAAGAAGAAAGAGGAAAGAAAAATCCAATTGAAGTGGAAGAAGATAAATAAAACAAAATAGAAGAAGAGATAACAGGTTCCACCCTGAGTCATTGAGTGTGTTCACCGATTTGTTTAAGGTGCCGTTCACACAATGCGACAAAGTTCATATTTAAAATAGGAAGTGAAAGAGAACAAAACATACACACACACACATATACACACATACACATACATTACATTAAAAAAAATATTATCAAGTTTTCAAGTGAAAGATTTTATAAATGAAAGTTTCATTTCAATATATACAGATATATATGTATATGTATATAAAGAAACATAGTTTGGAGAGTTAACCGGCATTTTTATCTCCTAATATAAAAGTATAGGTAGTTCTCTTTTATATATATATATACATGTATATATATATATAGGAGAAATTCTTTTGATTGGTTGAAAGAGGACACAACGAGGAGATTGTTGAAACCTGTGAAAGGACGACTACTACATTTACAATTACAACTACACGACGAGGTGGTTTTATACGTGAAACGAAAAACTACTTAAGGAAAAATAACTAAAAAAAAAAGGGGGAATAACAGTTATTTGCAACGTGAAAAGTTACTTAAGGAAAAGTAACTAAAAAGATAACTATAAATATAACTAGAACGGGGAAATACAGTTATTTGATGTTTGATTGAGTGAACAAAATTACACATACACACACATAAATATATATATATATATATATATTATGGATGTAATTTTTATCTCGTGTTATACCTAAAATATTTTATCTACAGTTGTGTGGTTAAATATAAGATAAAAAAAAAAAAAAAAGAAAAGATAAAATAAAATTAATAAGAAAAATAATCCAAGAAGATTTTGGAACGTGATTTTCTACATCTGACGTGGTGAGTACGAATATAATATTATTTATAATAATAATAATAATAATAATAATAATAATAATAATAATAATAATAATAATAATAGTATTTTATTTGTTATATTATAATAATAATATTTAAAAAAAAAAGTAATAGAATTTTGTTGATTTAATTAACAAATTAATGTAAAACTATTTACTAACAAATTATAACAAAATAATAGAATTTTCTTTGTGTATATATATATATATATATATATATATATATATATATATATATATATATTAATAATTTA